TCACATCCATGGATTTACACAGCCAGGCTCTCAGGGAAGTTACTCCCAGTTTCCAGAGCAGTGTTCTGAGGGTGCTCTTAGGGCTGATCTAGCTGGCTTTGCTGAGCTCTCCCACAAGGGCTTCTGAATTCTGAGCAGAAATCTTCCCACAGAGGGAATGAAGCTCAGTGGGGCATCACCTGCATCTTTCCAACAGGGAAAGGGCCCATAGTCTGGGGGTTAAGAATCATTTTGAATTCCCTGTTCCAGCTCATTTCCCTGTGCACACAGACTCTGAAACCATGGCAGGAGCTGGAGCAGCTCCTCCCAACCAGGAAACTCCTGGGGCAGGGCAAACCCAGCCCTGAGAGTGGGCTGGGTACCCCCTCTGGGGCTGAATTCCTGCAGGAGACAGCTCAGGAGAACCCCTGGCAAGGAGGGCACAGCTCCAGGGCAGAGCTGGGATGTGCAGCCAGGCTCCAAACCCAGCCCTTGGTGCCAGAAATAATCAGTGCAGACCTGAGAGAAGCACCCGTGTGGAGGGAGCAGCCATGCTGACAGCAGGCCAGGGCAGAAGGCAGCCTAATAAAATGAGATTATTTCAAATACATGCAAATTCAGAAAGCAATTTAATGACCTGAATTCTTAAAGTGCAGCCAGTGGGCTCAGAGAGAACTGAAAGGAGAAAGGAACAGAAAGTCACAGCTAATTTCCCCTGTGTCTGGGCAGAATTTTAACAACAGAAAGCTAATTTTGATTGTTTGATAGAAGAATTATTGTTGAGTGCTGGCTCCTTTTATGAAATCACATGAGCCTTTCTCCCTGTTCTTTTGTGTGCTATCTACAGTTGAGAAAAATCTAACTTTGCAGTTGTTAATTAGGGGAGCAACATCTGTTTGCTTCATTTCCATAATTTTACATACCCCACTCCAAAGCACCAGGAGCTTTGCTCTGAACATCTCCAAGGCTCTAAATATCTTCCTTTTCCCCTTCTATTTAGCCCATAGTTGCAATGAGGCAAACAGGGAGTTCTCAGAGCCCAGGGGTGTTCTGAGGGGAGGGAGGGGAGCTGGGGCTGGGGCTGGGGCTGGGGCTGGGGTGGCTGCAGCTGGTTCCTCTGCTCTGGGGTGTCTCAGACAGTTTGTGTGCAGCCTTTAGCAGTGATTTGGGGTGCATTGTTTATCTCAGGACCTCACTGTGCCCAGCACTTTCATTTCTGTGGGATGAACATCCCAGAAGGACAAACTCAGCCTCCCTGATTGGATTGCAGGGGACCAGGAGCCCTTTTGCTTCTCCTGCTGAAACTTTCCTGTGGTTGAGCAGGAACACAGGAGTGACTGCCTGAGCAGGGCTGGGGACAGAACCTCGTCTCAGGGGGGTCCCCAGAGCCAACCTCATCAGCTGCATCCCCCTCCCTGCCAGCTGCCCTGCCCTCCTTCTGGCCAGGGGCTGGAACAAGGAGTCCAGGCCAGGAAAAGGGGTTGGAACTGTTTCCTCAATCCCATGAGGAGCAGAAATAATCTCAGCCCCAGCAAAGTCAGTCCCACTCCTCCTTTCTGTCCCACTGCTGGTTTCTGTCTTGTGCAGGACCTTAGGAATGTTTGTCCCAGCAGGACTCTGTTCTGGGGCTGGTGGGAAGCAGGATTTTCTCCACTAGCAACCCACAGGGCTTATACTGGCATGTGGAAACACTGTGTAAATGAGGCAATTCATTAGAATGGGGAAGTCAATTAATTTTTCAATTTGCCAACCAGTTACAGTTTTAAAAAATGGTTTTGAAAAATTCCTCTCCCCTTCCATGGCTGGAAGAATGTTTTCCATAATCTTCTGCAGTGTTCTGGAGGAGAAATTTGATATTTTCTTGGCAAATCAGAAGAGAAAAATGTGATCTAATGAAAGAGCTAATAGAGGCAAGCTGGGCTCAGGAAAACAGTGAAGTGTAATGTGATTTCAAAGGGAAAATGGAGTGTTCTGGTTTAAAAAACAACAGAAATAATCATTCCAAGGTTTTTACTGGTATCACTTCATCAACTTGACACAAACCTAAGGAGCTTTGATCAAACCACTTCCAGCAAATATCAGCACGTTTGGAAAACATCAGCATGGTCTGTGTTCAGCTGGGCTGTGGAGCCCCTGCAGTGCAGCTGGGAGACATCCAGGGTGATTCTGCTGGGAATCACAGAAATGCACCCACAGAAATGTTCTACAAAGGCAGGTTGGAGGCACAGCATTATTCTCTCCCTGGTGATGAATCCACATGCCAACACAGACCTCTGGGGCACTGAGCAGGAGACCCTCAAAGCTGGATCCCTTCTTGGAGCAGTTTCTCCCACCTCAGTAGCCCAGGTTTACAGTCCTTGCCTTTACTCTTCACCCAGACTGCAGGTGCCAGAAATCAGTGTGGCTTTCCAGCCAGCTGAGATGGCCTGAGAAGGAAGGAAGGAAGACCCTGCACTGGGACCAGCCCCAGAGCCACAGCCAGTGATGGGGCACTGGGAGAGGAGTGGGATGGGGTTAGGGCACTGGGAGAGGAGTGGGATGGGGTTAGGGCACTGGGAGAGGAGTGGGATGGGGTTAGGGCACTGGGAGAGGAATAGGATGGGGTTAGGGCACTGGGAGAGTGGGATGAGGTGTGGTGACACCAGCACGGAGCCATGGCTGCTGAGGAGCTTTGGGAAGCTGTTCCTCATTCCCCTGCTCTGGCCCCTGCCCTCAGGCCGGTTTGGTCTCGGGACAGCTGCTTTGTCCCTGGCTGCTTTGAGCTCAGCGTGTGTCCCAGCCACAGGCTGACCTTGCAGTGCTGCAGGGGCTGCACATGGCCCATGCTGGGATTTGTCCCTCCGGCTCTGGGAAGGGCAGGATTGCAAAGCTGCAGTCCCAGTCCCTCTGTGACTCTGGAGTGCTGCAGTCTGGCCACCTCCTCCCTCACCAGCCAGCTGCAGTCAGGCAGGTTCTGCTCTCTCCACACGCAGTTTGTGTCTCTGAGTGTGTTTAAGCAGCTCTTTGGAGCTCATTTTCTGTGATCTGGGTGGGAATGACTGTGTGTGTGTGTGTGTATGTGTTCAGTGACGCAGCATGCCAAACCCCATTTAAAGGTGGCCCTGGTGCTGCCTCTGCTGTCCCTGGCCATGGGAAGGGCTGGGGTCTGTCTCTCTGGGGATATCCAGAGCTGTCCCAGTCCAGCATACAGTGAACAGCCATTAGAGAATTCCTACACTAACACTTCCAGCCCCTGGAATAACTTGAGCAGCTCCAAACTCTGCTTGCCTCCAGGATCATGTCCTGCCTGGGCTAGGATCTTGCTCTGAGTGGGAAACAAATGCTTTTCTGCCTTCTTTTTTTGCAGGGAGTGATTGACAGTAGGTAAAACAGCAGAGCATTGAGCATCCCATCCCATTCCCCTCAGCAGCCAGGTGCCAAGTGCACATCCAGGATCAGAACCCTGGCAGCATTTCAGTGCAGCTCAGCCCACTTCAGCTTTACCCACAGAGGCCTCAGAGCCACCCCTGTCCTTTGTGGGCTTGATTTGAAACAGGGAAGGGAAAACCTTCAGCGTGTTCTGGCAGTATCTGCAATTACAGTCAGATTGCTCCTTCCTTTTTTATGGGCTTGGCTCAAATCTGTGTCTGCTGGTTCCTCCTGCAAGGGAAGGGAAGGTCTGGAAACAGCTTCCTTTGTCCCTGAGCTCCCTCCTCAGCTGCTGTGAAATCACCTCTAGTCTGAATGTGCTGTTCTTCCTCACTGATGCTTTTCACGGGGATGGTTTCTGTACATTCCATGCTTTGCAGCAAGAACTAAACACATTTTACCTTCCCAGCATCACGGTGGGAGTGACTGGGATCTCCCTCCTATTGTACAATTTCCTCTTTATTGGTGCAGGAGTTGTTTCACCTTTTTCTGGTGCTGGATTTGGAGCTCAGTGAGTTATATCCAAGACTCTGCTGTTGCAGAGTGGCTCTTTAGGAAACCAGGGTGCCACCGTCCCTCTTCAGTGCCATTCCAGCTCTCTCCTGCCAGATGTTTGATTTTCCATTTGGCTGGAGTAAGAGGCATGTCCTTAAACTCTTACTCTTTTATCTGCTGCACACTTAAAAGCTACATCATGCAGTAAAAAAACCAAACAACCATCTGGATATCATCTAGATGTGCCTCAGATCATAAAGATCTGAGAGCTGGCTGGGTGGGATCAAAAGGAAATCCCTCTGGTGCCAGGCCCTGCCCTGGCTGGCTCTGTCCCTCAGCCCAGGAGTGATCCCTCCAGTGCCAGCTGCACTCCCAGGCTGGACAAATCATTCCACTGCATTTTCAGCCCATTGCAAGGGCAAAGAGCAGAGTTAAACTCTGGGAATCCAGCTGGAATATTCCCTGAAGCTGGGGCTCCAAGGGCACAGGAGCTGCAGGATGCCTGAGGGTCCTACCTGGCCCAGATGAGCTTTTCCAGCTCATGAAGTCACAGAATAGAACCACAGAACCATTCAGGTTGGAAAAGACTCCAAGACCACCAAGTCCTGACTCACAGGGAAATCTCCTTTCAAGTGAACCCCTATATTTGACTCCAGAATGACCAAGGCACATGAGACAGGTGAGGAAAAGGTGAAGCTGAAGGAGACTGGCTGAAGACTTCTCTGGATTTTATATTTTTGAGATTTTATTCTCTTTTTCTAATGGAGGCTAAGGTGCAAAATGGCAATCTTCCAAATCCATCAGCTTTTTTCTGCCAGTCTGCCACCCTTCCCAGCAGTGCAGTTACTGCCTAAGGACTGCCTTGGACATGCAGCCTGTGCTCCAGCTCCCTGCTCTGTGCGACCTGAGGCTGTTGGTTCCACAGAAGCAGGAGAAGTGGTGTTCCACAGAAGCAGGAGAAGTGGTGTTTGCCATCTCACTGCTGGGGCAGAGGCTGTGCACAGACCCCCGAGGGCCATGTGGGCACCAAGGGGAGGCATTCCAGGGAAGCGGGGCAGGAAGCTCCACCTGTGCTCTGCCACCCACAGTGACCCTTTCTCTCCTCCCTTCCTCCACAGGCAAGAAGAACTCCATCCTTCTGCACAAAGTGCAGCACGACCTCAACTCGGGGGTGTTCAACTACCAGGAGAACGAGATCATCCAGCAGATCGTGCAGCACGACCGGGAGATGGCTCACTGTGCCCACAACGTGCAGGCCGCCGCCGCCGCCGCCTCCACGCCCACGCCGGTCATCTGGACGCCGCTGATCCAGGCCCCGCTGCAGGCCGCCGCCGCCACCACCTCGGTGGCCATCGCCCTGACCCACCACCCGCGCCTGCCCACGGCCATCTTCCGGCCGCCCGTGTCCGTGCTGGGCTCGCTGGGCCAGCAGCCCAACCAGACCCCCAGGCAGCTGAAGAGATTCCAGTCGCTCATCCCATCCTCCGCCGGCCCCTCTGCCGTGGGCTCCCCGTCCAGCACCCCGTCCCAGCTGCACACGCCGGGCGCGGAGACGCCCTCGTCCTCCTCCTTCCACATCCAGCAGCTCGCCGGCTTCTCGGCCGCCGCCGGCCTGGGCCAGTTCCAGGTGGGGTCCCCTCCGGGGGGCTCCGGCCAGCCGGGGCTGAGCAGCACCTCCTCGGCGGGGCTGAGCCAGTTCCACAATGCACCCTCTGGGTCACCCTTAGGCGCAGCTCAGCCCCTGCAGCAGCAGCAGCAGCAACAGCAGCAGCAGCAGCAGCAGCAGCAGCAGCAGCAGCAGCAGCAGCCAGCCCTCTCCAGCAGTGGATTTGGGCACTTCCAGCAAGCCACAGCCAGCTCCCCATCGACATCGCTCACGCAGCTCTCATCAAACTCCCCCCCAAGTCTCCTGAACCAGTTCCAGCCCTCCACCAGACCACTGCAGGGGGGACAGTCGCAGCAGCTCTCGGGCAGTGGGACCCTGGGGGGATTGAACCACTTCCAAGCCCCTCCTTCTTCCAACTCTCCATCCTCCAGCCTAAGCCAGCTGGCGCAGGCCTCGGGCGGGCCGTCCGCGGGCCTGTGCCAAACACATCCAAGTGCTTTAGGATCTCTGACTGGAACGATAGCCCAGCTCCACCAAGAGCGGCCTCCCTTCGCCTCCGCGTCCCCGCTCCAGCAGCCCGGCATCGCCTCTCCCTGTTACACCCCTTCTGGCCTTAGTCCTCCCAGTCAGAGCCCGGTGGCCACCAGAACTTTCCAGAGTGGCCCCGCGGGGGCCTCGGGCTCGCACGGCTCGCTGCTGCTGCCGCAGCCCGCCAGCCCCCCGGCCCAGGCGCTGCCGGCGCGCCTCAACCAGGACATCAAGCTGATTTCTGCGTCCCAGCCCTCTCTGCCCCAAGAGCTGGCTCAGACTCTGGGCCGCCACAGCTCTCCTCATTCCTCTAGAGAATCTGTTTCCAGCTTCTCCCCTTTCCCCGGCGGCGGGAGCGGACTCCTGGGGAAGCCTTGCAGCTCCATCCCCGGGCGGGTGACGCTGCCACGCCAGATGTCCTCAGGTTCTCTGCCACACCCGCTGGCCTTCGCAGCCGGCGCCGCTGCCCTGGCTGCGGGCGGGCGGAAAGAGTCCATAGTGCTCACGGGGGATCTGGAGCCTGTCAGGTCCAAACTGCCCTCCAATTTGTGAGGACTCCTGGAGGAGCTGCTCCTGCCAGCTCTGCCCTTCAGCTCCTGATGAGTTCACCGAGCAGTTTTTTCCTTTCCTTCCCCCCCTGCGCCACTCCTGCTTTGTTTTCTTTTTTTTTCTCCATTTCTTTTGTTTAGGTTTAACTGTGCTTAGAAACAAAGAAAAAACACATGAAAAACAACAGGAAAAAAAAAAAAGAAGATAACCAGGTATTCTTAGAGCTATAGATTTTTGGTCACTTGATTTTATAGAATATTTTAATACACAGGAAAAAAAGGATACGAGCAAATTTAATCCAACGAGGTAACGCACAGCCGGGGCGTGTGCCTGAGCTGGAACACGTGAATGAGCAGCCATAGAAGCCACCAAAAAGGTTTTCCTGTTGAGACAAAGATCTAAGGTTGATATGGGCCACAAAAGGGGCCATGGGGTCAGGCCAGGAGCTGGTGTTTGTAGAACAGCCCTTGTTGGCCTCAGCTTTGCCCCAGCTGTGACCCTGGGGCTGGGGACGTGGGTGGCCCAGCACACACCACAAGTGTCCCTCCCTCCCTCCCTGCCAGGTCACCTCCTGTGCTCAGCAGGTCACACAGGAGCCAGAAGGGGCGAGTTCACTCTTGTAGATCCCTCGAGGGTTTCCCATGGGCTGAGGTTTGGGTTGGACTCCAGCTGAGGAAGATGAAGGTGACCAGGAGATGGATGGGCCTCGGTGCAGATTGTCCCTTTCTTACTCCACTGATACTCCAGTGGGAACAAGGAGCAATCCCCTGTAAGGCACAGGCAGGGCAGGGATGATCCCTCTGTACTTTGGCATGTGGGCAGTGGGAGAAGCCCTGGCTCTGCCAGCACCCCAGGCAGAAGGCCCCAAGCTTCAGCCTCTCCGTGGTGTGTGCAAAGCACGGGAGGGATGAAGGAAGAGGCAGTGCTTTAACGTCCCCTCTGTCACTTCAGTGTCTCAGTGTCCATGGGTGACTGCTCTGAGGAGAACTGGAAAGGACTGAGCAGTGGGGTGCAGTCCCCAGCCCTCCTCCTCCTCAGCCCAGGGCAGTGTGAGGCACCAGGACAGTTCCAAGAGTTACAATTCTGTTTTTACCATTAAAACCAGATCAGCCCAGAAATTTGGCCAGCCATGGTCTGTGCTTGTCCCCTGCTGGGGGAACCGAAATCCTTTGTTTGATTTCACCAGCAATAAGAGCCTGCACCTGGTGGGCTTCCCCTGACACCCTGCAGCGTCCCCGGGCACACCTGGGCCACCTGGGGCTGGGCTTTGGGCTCCCCGCCTGGGGACACTCCCATGGGGCGGGGACAGAGCGGGGCCAGCAGCACTGAGAAGCCACAGCCTTTACCTCCAGGGCAGACATCTCCTTTTGTGTCACTTCGTCCTTCCTCTCTCTCTGTTTGGGGTTTTCTTAGGCCAAGGGGTGTCTGTGGCCACCTCACTGTCCGAGTCAGGTGCTCAACTTTTCTAACACTCCTGAGAGACACATCCAGCCTCCCTCCGTCCCCAGCCCTCAAGGGGACGCAGGACTCCATGCAGCAGTGCCAAAAACTTTCCCCCCCAGTCCCGAGCCCCTGGAGCTCCTCTGCCCTGCCCCCAAACCCTGGCTGATGGTTGTTTTTATACCGACTCGACTCGTCTGCAGAGCTCTCTGCCACGTGCCTGCACCTTGAATGTTGCATTCCTGGGCACTCCTGCTTCACCCTGCTTTGGTGGCTCTGAATTCAGATGTGATCAGCTTTGGTCTTCCTTAAAGGGTCAGGGGAACTCTGGAAATGCTTTTTCTACTGGCTCCATACAGCTCTGTCTGTGTGAGTGTGGTGGGAGGGTGAGTGTGTGTGTGTGTGTGTTTGTATAGATTTTATAGATGTACCTATATCTACACACCTGCTTTTCTATCTGTAGGGTAGTCACACACATCTGTAGTCTATTTATGCACATGTGTCAGCACACACACACACACACATATTTATATATATATATGTATATCCTAGTTTTAAATTAAAATACGTGTCAGTTCTGAGCCTCCTGCAGGGCTGATTGGCAGGTGACAATTATAACCTCTAGATCCTGCTTTTCCAAATATGTACAGGTTCATCTTGAAACAGGAATTGAAGCAGACTCACAGACCCTCTCATGTTTTCAGAGGTAGAAGGAAGACTCCCAATATCCTTTGCAGTTTTTTGGGTTTTTAGCAAACCTTTCCCCTATGTGCCAGAGGGCCCTGGCCGAGCACCTGGAGGGTTTGGGGTGGGCTGGGCAGGCAGGGGGGAAAGGTCTCCAGCCCTCCTGGGCTCCTGTCCCGTGGCTGCTGCACTGGCCCTGAGTCCTGGCCACCCTGGGGACCCTCAGGGGACACCCAGGGCTGGCACTGCCCGGCCATGCCCCCTCCTCACTGCGGGACATCCTCCTTGGCTTTGCTTCCCTCGGGGATCTTCTTTGGGTTTCCAGCTCTCAGCACTGCAGTAGCCAACTTTGAGTTATTCTGACTGGACCCCAGTCAACACTAGGCTTGTCTCAGTAGGTGGAACTATATTTATTACTATTATTATTATTATTATTATTATTATTATTATTATTATTATTATTTGGTTTCTTTTGGGGGGAAGGGAGGGGAAGAGTTCTAGGGGTGGGGTTTGCAATATAAAACACACAATAAAAACCTTAGTAAATAAAAATGTGAAAAACCCACCCCTCTGACTTGCTGTGTGCTTCACGTGGTGAGCTCCAGGCAACACGAGATGAGCTTTAAAGGAGAAAAATCTCATTTCAGCCCTTTGCTTTGTCCTGTCTCTATTTTCCTGCTGCCTCTGGAGCTTTGCAGGGTGTTCACCACCTCACATGTTCTCTGTATTCAGCCACTGACACAAAAAGTTTAAAACTTCCACCTACACCTGAATTCTCACCAAGACAAGGGAGAAATCTGACAGTTGTTTTGCAGATGTGTTCACGAAAATCCTTCACTTTAATGCAGACATGGAAGCTGTGTTTGCCTGTGGGATCCCTGGAGAAGGAGCCCTGCACAGGACACAGCCCCTGGCAGCAGGACAGGAAGCACACAGGGAGGATGCCAAGGCCAGGAGCTGAAGAGTTTTAGGAAGGTAAAACTGCCCTGAGCTCTGAGCTTCCATTGCTCCTGCAGGGCCCTCTCAGGTGTGGGTGTGACTCCTGGTGGGTCACCTTGTCCTGGAGCTGCCACCAGGGAGTTCAGGCACTAAAATGTTTGGGTTGCCTTTTGGAATGGGTTTTTAGACCAGGCTGTTTTCCATGCCGTTCCTGTTACAGAGGGAAAAGGTTGTTAGTCCTGCCCAAGCCAACATTTCTTTTAAAATTTCGATTTCCCAGAAAATTTGTAAATTTGCAAGGTTGGACTGGAACAGAATCCAAGTTTTGAGCCCTCAAAGCACACCTGGAAGGCCTGGCTGGTTCAGCACGTGGTGCTGCCTCCTTGCCTCACTGCAAGAGGCTTCAAAGAGCACTGGGGTGATCCAGCTGTGGGGGAAACACCCCAGAGCCAGGTCACTGCCCTCAGCAGGGTGGGTCTGCCCCTCATCCCCACCGCCTGCCCCAGAGCCTCAGGTCCCAGGAAAGGCAGGAGCAGCAGCTCTGATGGTCTCTCCCTTTGCCCAGCTCCGGTTTGGGCAGGAATTCATGGGAATTTCAGCCTTGTCTTGGGAGCTTGGCCTGGCCTGGCTGCCCACCCAATAGTCTCTGGCTTTGGGAGAGGCAGCAGCTCCCACACTCGTGGCTCTTGCACCCTGAGGGAGATTTTGGGGTGTGGGAGCCCACAGAAACCAGCAATTCCCAGCAGTGCTTTCCCAGGGCACTGGGATTGGCTGGTCCCTGCACCAGCCAGCCCTGGGCAGAAGCAAAGTGGTGCCAGGGCTGCAGGGAGGGGCAGGCTGGGGCTCAGCTCTCTTGGGAAGAGGATTTTCCTCCTCTCTGCAGCCTCCCTGAGCTCTGTGCCTGGCAGGACCCCCAGGCTGGTCCCCAGTCACAGCCTCCATCAGGGACACCCTGCCACACCTCTGGGGTGTCCCCAGGAAGCCCCAGGCTGGGGCTGGGGTTGGGCATGTCCTGACTGAGTCCTATTTCATCTCTGCAGTTCCAGGGATCTCCCAGCACAGGACCAGCAAGCTCAGGTACCCTGCAAGGTGCTCCTGGGAATGCCCAGAAGGAAAAGGGAGTTGCATCTTTTTCCTAACTGCTAGGAGAGCCATGAGTAAGCTGGGAATGACCCCTTTAAAGCAATAAGTACAGCAGAGTGTGTGTTTTACCTAAAATAAGGAACACCAGACAGCTTTCACCCCCAGCCTCAGGGCTGAGCTCATCCCTGCCCCCAAGGCACTGCTGTGACAGTGACAGGAGCTGTGAGCCACACTCTGACCCCTGATATCCTGTGGGACAGGATCCCTTTGGGAAGGGGGAGATGGGCACAAAGCAATGATCTCAGCCATGGCCAAACCACAGAGAGCAAAAAGCAAATGGGGCAGCTCCTCCAAGCCTCCCACCCTCTGGGCAGAGGGAACATCTCACTGCTCACACCCCTGAGAGGTGGCAGGGGACTCTTCCAGCTCCTGGGGAATGCCCTGCTGCCAGAGCTGGAGTGGGGCACCCACTGGGGCTGCTCTGCAGGGACTGAGGGCCCCAGACCAGTTGGGACTGGAGAGGCACTGAGGGCACATCCCTGCCCTGCCCTGGCAGCAGCCCTGTGCCCGCCTGGCACACAGACACAGAGGGGAACACAGCCCTGGGGTCAGGGTGGGACCCTCTGGACCCTCCCGAGCTGAGGGAGGGACAGCTGGGGCCAGGGTTGGCTTCTCAGCAGCTTGGCAGGGAGTGCTGGGGTCACAGGCTGGCCAGGAGCTCTGCTTCCCACAGACAGAGCTGGCCCCTGGTGAGACAGGACCTTCCCTTGGGAATGATTCCCCTGCCCAGCACTGCAGCCAGCCCCAGAGGGGTCAGAACGGGCACCATGGAGTCCCAGGAGAGGGGAGGGCACAGG